GCAGAACAGTATAGCTAGATAGATAGATAGTTAGAGAATTATATAATATAATCTCAATTGGAAAAAATATTTTATATTTATTAAAAACTCTGAAGAATATAAAAGGAACTTAATGTTTACTTTGGGGAATGGGATTGAGGCCAGAAAAAAAACCTGATTTTAAGTTTTAAACCTTTATATATGTATTGTTTTATTTTGTCACTTACATGAATTATTTTTATTAAAAATAATGATCTGAAATATACTTTTGGTTTGGCATTTTTCTGGTTATCCATTGCTGTATGACAAACTACTTAAAAGCACAGCAGCTTAAAAAAACATTTTATTATATCTCATGGTTCTGTGGATCACAATTTGTTCAGAGCTCAGGTGGACAATTCTTCTACTTCAAATGGCATTAACTGGTGTCATTCAGTGATATTCAGTTAACTGGTATGAAGGGTTCAGAACAACTTCACTTGCACGTCTAATGCCTTGGTAGGAATAGCTGTACTAGCTGAACTTTTCGGTGTTTAAGTATCTCTTGGAATTACCATGTGGTCTCTGCAGGATAGTCAAACTTTTTATATGATGACTCAGAGCTCCAAGAAACCAAGATGAAAACTGCAAGTTATTTAGAGCATAAGCCTTGAATAAGCTTCATGTCACTTCTGTCATACTCTATTTATCTTTTATAATGAATCTAATTAGAGTATTAAGTCTAATGCTCTAATTAGATTTAATTAGATTAACTTAAAGCAGCTATAGGCCAGTGAAGATTTTGGAAATAGGAATTGGAAATAGACTCAGCTTCTCTATGGGAAGAGTATCAAGAAATTTGTGGCTATATTTAATCCAATGCAGGCATCAAGATCAGTGCCTTAATGTAAGTTGTATCTTTGATCATTCAAATCAGGACTAAAAAGTAGTGTGGATGGTTTAGGATAACTTGAATGTAAACCTAGAAAAAGATGAGTTGAAGACATGAGTGTGATCTGTTCATACTGGAGGCTACAAAAAGCCTATCACAGTATCAGAGTGATAAATCCTTTTTACTTACTCTGACGGGTTAATAATGCCTGCCTCTATTCTTCTCCCTACCTTCTTCATCTCTCTGAACCATGTCAGGGTGAAAAGCTTGTTCCTTGGTAGGGACCATGTCTTTTTTTTTTTTTTTTTTTTTTTTGGCACTGTGTATCTCCCTTCCCAAGTAGCTGGGACTACAGGCACATAACACCATGCCCAGCTCATTTTTTTATATTTTGTAAAGTGAAGCTTTTACCATGTCTCCCAGGCTGGTCTGGAACTCCTGGGCTGAAGTGATCCACCCATCTCAGCTTCCAAAAGTGCTGGAATTACAAGCATTAGCCACTGTACCCTGCCCAGAACCACCCATTTATGAACTAGTCCTTAAGTGGTGATTAGGGCAGAAAACAAGGCTGGTAAACTCCATGCAAATCACATATCCAACTTTTTACTTTGCTATTTTACCTTAATCAAAATAGAATCATAACAACTCGTTCCATAAAGCCAATATTGCCTTAATACCAAAAGTCAATAAATACATCACAAGAAAAGAAATATACAGGTCAATATCCCTAATAAATATAGATACCAAAACCCCTAGCAAAATGGTAGAAAACTAAATCCAGCAACATATAGAATGCATTATACATCATGACCAACTGTGATTTATCCAGGAAACTCAATATTGGTTTAACATGTGAAAATCAATCAATGTAATGTACCATATTGAAAGGATAAAAGACAAAAATTACATGATCATCTCAGTAAATGAAGAAAGGGCATCTGATTAAATCCAACACCCTATCATTATGAACACAATCAGCAAACTAGGAATAGAAGGGAACTTCTTCAATCTAATAAAGTTCATCCATCTATGAACAAAACATAGCTAACATCAATGCTTAATGATTTAAAAAAAAAAAAAAAACGGGACATTTTACCACTAACACCAGTGATAAGAATCTCCATTCTCACAAGCTCTATTCAACATTGTCCTGGAAGTTCTTACAAGGGCAATTATGCAAGGAAAACAAACAAAAGACATCCAGCTTGGAAAGGAAGAAGTAAAACTTTCTTTATTCTCAGATAATATGATGTTGTATCTAGAAAATTTTAAGGAATACACTTAAAAATTATTAGAATTAATAAAGGAGTTCAGCAAGGTTGCAGGATACAAGGCCAACATGCAAAAATCATTTGTACATATACTTTTCAATTTACAGTAGGGTTACATCCCAAAAAACTCATCATAACTTGAAAATATTGTAAGTCAAAAATGCATTTAATATGCCTAACCCACTGAATGGAATAGCTTCACCTAGCCTACCCTAAAGGTACTCAGAACACTTATAGGGTTACAGTTCAGCAAAACCATCTGGCAACACAGTATGCTGTAGGGTATGCGTTTTTGAAGTACAGTTTCTACTAAATGTGTATCAGTTTTTCATCATTGCAAAGTTGAAAACTCATGAGTCAAACCATAGTAGGTTGGGGGACCATCTGTATTTCTGTATAATAAAAATAAGGAATCTTAAATAAAATAAAAGTATAAAACAATTCTGTGTTAATAGGCTTGCTTTATTTATTTAAAAAAAAGATAAAAATCCTTATAAATAAAATTATCTAAATAAGTAAAAATGTTCTACACTGAAAATGACAAAACATCATTCAAAGGAATTGAAAGTGACCTAATTAAATGAAAAGTCACCTCACATTAATGGATTGGAAAACTTCATATTATTGAGGGAGCAATACTCCCCAAACTAATCTACAGATTCAACACAATTCATATCAAAGTATCAGCTTGCTTTTGTGTAGAAATTGACAAGATAAATCTAAAATTCACCTGGAAATGCAAAATAATCAGAATAGTCAAAACAGTATTAAAAGAGAAGGAAGCCTCATATTTCTGAATTCAGAACTTACTACAAAGCTATGATAATTAAGACACTGTGGTACTGGCATAGAAATACACATATATATCAATGGAATAGAATGAAGAATCCAGATATAAACCCTTACATTTATGGACAATTGATTTTTCAACAAGGCTACCAATACCATTCAATGAGGGGAAATAATAGGCTTTTCAAGAAATGGTGCTATAACAACTGGATATTCACATGCGAAAGAATGAATATAGACTTATACCTCATATCACTTTCAAAATTAACTCAAAACAGAACAAAGGCCCAACTGTAAGAGCTAAAATTATAAAACTCTTAGAGAAAAACCTAGTGGTAAATCTTTGTGACCTTGGACTTATCAATGTATTCTTATATATGACATCTAAAACATACGCAAAAAAAAAAAAAGAAAAAGAAAAATAGATAAATTAGATTTCATCAAAATTACTTTTGTACTTCAACGAATGTCATCAAGAAAGTGAAAAGACAACCTATGGAATGGGACAAAATATTTAAAAATCATATATCTGAAAAGGGGCTTACAATAATACATAAAATACTCTTACAGCTCAACGACAATGACAACACCAATAACAAATAACCCCGTTAAAAATAAGCAAAGGATGGCCAGGTGCAGTAGCTCGTGCCTGTAATCCCAGTACTTTGGGAGACAAAGGTAGGTGGATCACCTGAGGTCAGCAGTTTGAGCCAGGGTGGAAACTACCCCCCACACACCCTGTCTCTACTAAAAATACAATTAGTTGGGCATGGTGGCACAGACCTGTAGTCCCAGCTACTCAGGAGGCAGAGTCAGAAGAATTGCTTGAACCTGAGAGGTAGAGGTTGTGGTGACCTGAGATCACGCCACTGCACTCCAGCCTGGGTGATAGGGGGAGGCTCCATCCCATCCATCCCCCACCCCAAAAAAAGTTCTGGAATTGAATAGTATTGATGGTTATACAACATTGTGACTACACTAAAACCTGCTAATTATACACATTAACAAGGTATATTTTATGGTATGTGAATTATATATCAACAAAACTGTCATTTTCAAAAAGTAGAATCAGTCCCACAACCAAGTAGGAAAAATGTGCTCAATCTTTAGCTTTTACCCCAGCTAGCAGGACTAGTGGCTTGCTTCCCTTTCTTCAGCAACTGCCCCAAGTATTTACTCATTTCTTTATCTATGGCGGAAATATTAAATTTACCAGTCAACCTTGCCCTGAGTGAAGAACGTTGAACATTTGAGCATCCACACTTGTTACACCATCCCTCATGTTATGTTTTCATAGGTAACAACTTTCTCAAAAATGAGTCAAGCAAGACTCAAAAAATAATCTGAGGCAACAGAGAGAAAGGGAAGTATTGGAGTATAAGCTATATGTGGTTGGATGGCCTTGTTGTTCCCAAATCCTTTTGTAAAATGCAGAATACCCAAGGATATCTAGACATTTCCTCTCCTACTCTCTTTCATCATGATAGGGTGGGGGAATATTTTTGAAGTCTTCCAATTAGAGTCTAATCTATTACTAACTCACAGTAGTGAAACTGAGCCATTCTCAATGAGAATTGGCAACCAGAGAATGGTTCTGGGCTACTTCTGTCATCTACTCTAACATTTAACAGCTCTTACTGTTAGAAACAATTTTGAATATTAATCGAGGTTCCTCATGTTTCAGGTAAACTAAATAACTTCATGTTACATGTTCAGTGAAGACTGACAAGAGATGATACTATTGATTTACATTTGGAAACGGTGCCTAGAAGGAAACACTAATAGGAACTAGGATTTATTCAGAAGATGGCAGATCATTAGTGTCCAAGCATTTTAAATCCCTCTGAAGGTAGGGTTTCCTTAAACTGGTCAAAGGTCTATGGGCAAAAGTACATAAATGGTATGGAGAGATAGTTAAAGAAGGGGAATTTATATCCAACTCTTGTGAGTTAAGCCACCACTTCCCATAAGCTAACACAGTAAGAGAGATTCAGACAAGTACCACCAGCAGAGTCCCCTCCAAGTGACAAAGCACTTTGGAAAACAGATTTCCCATGAACCATCATTGCCATCTGCCCAGGCCACCTTACCTAACTGAAATTGATTGGAGACATTCCCACATGTTTGCATTATCTCCGGGCTATTCCATCCTAAAGGGTATAAGGCACAGCCTGAGCTTATCAGCAGCCCTAGAAAGAAAGCATATACACAGGTAGAAAAAATGTAACATCTTCTGTCACCCCAACATTCCCTTTGGATTAGCTCAGCTCAAATTCTGTCTCCTCAACTGAGCTTACACTTCCCCTTTTACCCTAAATTTCTATGAAAGTACCAACTCAACATGATTTCTCTTTTTTTTTCTTCTTCTTTTTTTTCTTTTTTTTTTTTTTTTTGGCTATGCCACAGGGAGTGGGGTGTAATAGGTAGCAGAAGGGACAACTCATAAATTTTAAAAAGTTGAAAAATGAGACAGGCCAATGTACTTTTTACAGCCAAAATACTTTTGTCAATGACTTATAAGCCTAGGCTGGCTTTCCCAACCTCTTTTGCCTGGTCTGGTTTACAGAGAATAGCAATGTAAACATTACTACTCTTTCCCAAAATCTAGCTGTTTCTAAACATCAGGTAGGTCCCTACTACCTGAAATATGTTATTATTTCTGTAACTTGAAGTCAGCTGCTGGACCATTGAGCAGGGAACCACACTCTTCTCCCAATAAATTATTCCAGCTTTATACCAAGCATTCTTCCCTTCTTTGGTTTCAGTATGCCTTGCACCATGACCCCTTACCCTAAATAAAAGGATTAAGGCCCTTTTATTTGGGTCATTTAGGCATTACAGGGAAATTCTGTTGTACCTTAGTGATAATCTTATTCTTCCAAGCAGAGATACAAATCTGGGTCTGGTTGCCAACAGTGACTTCTAAGGTCAACTACATTGCTCGCAACTTTTTCTTGCTGCATAGGTTTTCATATTTTATAAACTGTGGCCCTTACCCTGCCTCTGGACACAAGTACTGACATCTCACAACTAAAACAAATTCATTGGCTAGCCAGTGATGGGTGACATTGTAGCCTGGCATGAAGAGATGAGCTAGGCCAGATTCTTGTTTCTGGAATTTTTAATTGAGAAACATAAAGATGACTGGTCTGAAGGTAGTGAGTTATCTCAATTGATTGTTCACAGTCAGTTATAGATTGAACTTCTTGTTCCACTCTTTCCCCTTCTTACTACTGCACTTGACTACTCTGTTTCAAAATGGAGGGAAAAGGATCATAAAGATGCTGAGCTAGTTAACAGATAATGCAGAAGTTGAAAACACCCCCTACAACACCAGAAGTTAGAATCAAGTCTGTGTCAAGCTAAAGCCAAGTTCAATTCAAAGTTAAGAGTAGATATCACTTCTGGATAAGCTGAGCAAACTCTTTGGTAGAAAGAGAGAATAGAGGAGAATAGTGGGCATGAAGCAGACATACCATGAGAAAAACTCCATACTGTCAATGAAACAGCTAGAACAAAGAGAAGCCAGGACTTCCTGATGGCTTTCCAATTCTACTTTCCTTATAATAAATTCCCCTTTCACTGAGGGAACTCAAGTGAATTTCTGCTACTTGCAACCAAAAGAGCTTAATTACAAGCATGCCATACTTAGGTGCCACACTAATGGTCATGGAAGGGACACCTGCCATGAATCTGGATGCAGAAAGTAACACATAGCACAGAACCATCAGAAAGCAGCTGCTTGATCAATAGTGAATGAATAGCATATTTATCAGTTCCAGAGCTCTGGACAGTGAAATGCAAGCTGCTCTATGGACTGCCAGTTTCATCTTCACTTCTCTTTCCTCACTGAGGAAGAGTCCATATATACTCTAAGAAACTCATGTTGCCTTCAGATGAATCCTTTTGGAAGACCTCCAAGCTTGGCTGCCCCATGGCAACCAGCTTTTCTCAATACTTATTGAGGCCACAGGAGAAGAGAAGGTCCTTAGAAGAATAGCAAGAAGGATTTAAATAAGAAAATAGGGAGAATTTACTGCCAGTGAGTCTGGTTTTAGAAACTAAAACGATGACCAATTAAGGTTAGAAATTCTCTTCAGTGGAATGCTCAAAATTAGAAAGCATTCTTATCTTTCTCCTGGTATCACAGGAAGTGCAACTGGTTACTCAAAGGCCTTTCTAGGCCCTGGAATTCATCCAATGGCAATACAACAACACCCCCTGTTTTTCCACAGATAAACTGAAATCCTAGGATATGAAGAGGTCACCCAGAGTATGCACATTGGATTAAGGACAAAAGTAGAAATGAAACCTAAGCCTTTTCCTGCTGCTACTATATACCCTTTGAGGAAAAATTTAATAAAGATTGAGTTTTCCCACACAGACTAGGAAGAAAAGAACACAAGTTTATAAAAGAACACCAGCTCTATTTTCTAACCTTCACATTCAGATCCCTGGGACTGGCACAAACTCTGCCTTCTCAAGCAGAAACTAGAGCTGGCCAAGTGCCTTTCTTGGCACAGTAGAGGGAACCTTCCATCTTCTTCAGACCCCTGCTTCTCAGATCTTACCATACTGAGGAGCTCAAGTCAAGGATTTCCTTCTCCAGAAAGTCTTCCCTCACTATCCCCAGCCCCCAGGCTAAGTTACATGCTCCTCCTTTCTGTTCCCATAGCACCCAGTGCTTACTCCGGTGACTAAAATAGTCTGTAATATATATTCTTTACAAAAGTTTATCATCTGCTTCCCTCACTACAGTGTGTATTCCTTGAAGGCAGGAGACATACTTATCTTCAATTCTGTATCCTTGGCACATGGTAGATAATAAGTATTCAATAAATGCATCTGTTTCAGAGTATGCACAGCCTATATAACAAACAGCTTCCTTTGCCCACATTGCCCAAGTGGAAAGTCCCTTCTGAAGGGACTTCCATGTCAGGGTTGGGAAATCACCCCAGACACCTGATAGAGTCAGGAAAAAAAAAAAAAAAAACTTAGAAAGAAAAAGGCTTTTGGAGATAACTTACCTTAATCTCTCCTTGTTACTGATGTGAATGTTGAGACACAGAAAGGGAAAATGATTTACCCAAGGTCACATAGCTAGTAACTAGCAATACCTGTTTTCACTGATCAAAGAGATCATCAACCCTTAGAGGTTCTGCCCTTCTAGAGACATGTGTCCAGGATGATTACCTCTTGGCAACAATATCTTTAGCAGGCACCAGGAATTTTCTAGGCATTAAATTGAGAGTGAAAGCACAACATGGTGGCTTAAAATAATGGGTTCTGTGGTCAGACTGCAGAACTAGACCTAAATTCAAATTCCAGCTCTGCCACGTGGAGGCTGTTAGGCAAGTTACTTAATTTCTCTGTGCCTCATTCACCTCATCTATAAAATGAGAATAATAATAATACACTTGTCTTTTGATATTCACAGGGTATTGGTTCCAAGATCCCTGCAGATACCAAAATCAGCAAATGTTTAAATCCCTTATAAGAAATGATGTAGTGCTTGCATATAACCTAGAACATATTCTTGTATATTTTAAATCATCTCTAGATTATTTATAATACCTAATGCAATGTAAATGCTATGTAAATAGTTGCTGTATATTTGTTGGATTTTTGAAAATATATTTCAGCCATGGTTGGTTGAATCTGTGGATGCAGAGCCTACAGATATGGAGGGCTGACTATATTTTATGGAGCTGTTCCAAGAATTAATGAGATTAATATACATAAAGTGTCTCATACATAGAAAGTGCTCAACAAAGATTTATTATTCTTATACAGTTGCCTCTCCCCATGGCTTCTCTCCCAGTTTCTACCTGTATTCTCCATGCTAATTTCTTCCTCACAGCTAAAAATTCAAAACCTGAACAGGGCTTGGTTCAAAAGCTGCCTGGTTGGAGTTATCTTGCAATTTTGCAGAGGTACCTGCTGAAAGACCAGGAATCTCTACAAAGCATGTGTTCAGCTTTAGTGCATGTAGCTCCATGCTCTATCCAACCTGCCCTCCCACCCCTGCCATCTTCCCCAGCCCTCTATCCTGCCTTTTAGCCAGGTGAGCACATTAGTTTGTAAACATGCTTCATGGAGATATTTGACTTGTAACTGACAGTTGATTCCATTACATTTTATCATAGCTGGAGAAAGATGCCCCTGGGAACACATTAAAAATAAAAATGGATTCATAGGTAATTCATTCTCAATTATATTTGTCCCTAACAGTTCTCATTAATTTGGGGTTGTGAAGATGTGCTTCAAGTAGCAACAGGGAAGTCATTTACAAGTGTCAGTCCCTGCCACCTTCTGGAAGAATAGAGGCTCATTAAAAATGTAGGTTCTTGGACTTTAGCCCCAGGTATTTGATTCAGTAACTGCAGCCCAGGAATATGCATTTTAAAAGTGCCCTGTGATGTAGAGATATCGTGTCCTGGTACCAATACTTAAGAAAAACACCACTAAAAATCTTAAACGCAGACATTCTGGTGGCAGAAAAAACTTGCTTAAATCACAGCCCTGCCACATATGAACTGCAGCCCTGGCTTTCACTTCTTTTCTATGTCATTGCTAACTCCCAGTTTGACTTCCCCTCCAACCACATATGTCCCTTGGAGAAGTCTGTTTCAACTGCATATGCTTAGCTGAGAACTTTCCTAGTCTCATGTGCCTCTAGGAAGGAAAAGAAAGCCTTTAGAGTGCCTCACTGTCTTTACTCCCCTGCTACACATGAGCAGATGTCCAATAGTGCTGCCATCTTGTTTCCCTTCCTCAACTCCTCCTCTCCCTAAGAATCCCCTCTCACAAAGCTTACTAAATGTTCTCCCCAACATGATTGCCATGGTTTGTATTTACTGAGCTGACCGAGCGGAGGGCTGGAATTGGACACTTTATTCAGCTTTTGCACCTGAGGGTTTGTACTGGTGTCATGATATATGTCATGATATATGACACCAGTACAAACCCTCAGGTGCAAAATCTGAGACAGAACTTGGAACCCTCCCTCCAGCCACACCACAGCTGCCCTCTACTTTCCCCTGTTCCAAGCATTACTATTTACCCAATCCCAGCTGCTATATAATCTTCTCCCAACTATAGATTCACAAATAGGTAGATGCCTAATCTTTGTCTTCTGGCAGGGATAGCCTCCTCATTGAGTATTAGCAACCTCCTTTGCACACCTCTCCACTATTTACAAGTGCAACTGTTGAGTAGGCGGCCATTTTGTTAAGCTTCCTGCTCTGTTCTCACTTTCCTTATCTTTGCATAGCTGCCAATCCTCCTTTCCAAACATAATTATTAGGTATCTTGGATTTGTTGCCCTGAGAAGAAGCCTGGTATGGGTTAATTTGTTATTATAGCAACTTTGACTCAAACATAACCCAGTGGAAAATTTACAAGCCTGACTTTCAACTATATCTCAGCTTTCCTTTCCTAGGAAGTTCTTCCACTTACTTCCCCCATTTATTTTATCCCATATTCCTCTCAGAGTTAGAGGATAGCTCATAGCTGCCAAAGATGCCAAAAGTAGATCAGGGAAGCCTTCTCAGAAAGGTTGCATTGGACCTGGCCTTTGAGTTATAGCTAGATATTTACAAGCAGGGATAGAAGAAAAGGGAATTACAGAAAGAAGCAACACAATAAACAAGGCCTAGCAGAGTTTCTCAAATTTTAGTGTATACTGGAATCATGACAGTGAATGATAAATAACAACTCCCAGACAGTCGTTACCTTTTCAGTGGGGACAAGGGAATGTGATCAGGGTATGAAAGAGGCTTCAGCTATATTGCTAATATTCTAACATAGAATAGTGAGTACATCTGAAATATTTCATTATATGTTTTCAAAAATATATGAACCTGAGAAGTTGTGTAATATGCACTTTAGCAGGCCTTTGTACAGTCTGTAGCACCAAGGAATCTGTAATAACGAGAACTCCAGGTAATGCTTAATCCAAGTGATTCATGAACCACTCTGAAAAACACTGTGATAGCATTTCTTTTCCAACAGAGAAAAGAAAAAAATCAAGACCATTAGTGTATAAAGCACAGGACTTAGAGTCAGGAGCCCTGGACCATATTCTCAGCTCTGCTCCAATTTGCTACATGAGTCTTTGCTAGTGGGTTAACTTCCTTGAATACCACTTCCAAAACAGAAAATCACTTTTGTAATTCTTGCTCAGCATGGTAAGGATAAATAAAATGATGTCTTGTGAAACTTTGAAGGACTTTCCAATAAATAAATGGTTTCCAGAGAAGACAATGAATTTTAGAAACATGGCACCCTTCCTGAAACCAAGTTCTCAGTGATATGTCTTCAATGGCAACTTTTATTCAGTGTGAAGCATGTAATATTAGGACCTTACATGGAGAAAAGCACTGGTGTGTTGAATGCTGCTCTCTTAACAACAAAAATGTCCAGGGTGGTGATCCTCCCTTGGACTGGGGAAAGGGAACACACATACACATCAAAGTAACTGGGGAGATTTGGCTAAATGTGCAGCCTTACACCTGTTGTTGTGTATATCAGAATGGTAAATGAGACTAGAGAGTTGGAAAGCTCACATTTTTTAAGCACCCAAGGTGATTCTGATATATTCCTTGGTCCAGAAAGATTCTTGGCCTCCCACGAGTAACCTGATCCAAGATCTTACAATGTTTTCCTTCCAAGAAGTTCCTTATATTTTCTACTCACCTATTTGTTCTTTGTTTAGCTCTCACTGAAGATAGAGGATCTCATAAGCATCTACATATGTATACACAGGGGAATGTGAATAATGGCCATGTTCTCAGGGACTGGGGGCCAGCTGGTTAGAAATCTCAGCATCCCCAGGGTTGAAATAATCTCCTGGCCAGGTGTTTCCTTCATTGGTTGGAGCAGCGCATAAAGGTCCCAGTGGAAGGCTCTCTGGACCCTAGGCTTGTCCAGCTGGATCAGCTACAGGTGGAGCAAATGGGCCCCATGGGCCCCATCAGGTCACCTTGCTGAGTATGAGTCAGGCCAACAGCTCTTTATTTCTTCCTGTCTCTCCCACTTCCCACCACTCATCTCTGTGGGCAGCCGCCAAACTGGGGAACAAGAGTCAGGCAGGAGGAGGGGGTAGTTCTTAATGGATACTCCATCTCTTCAGTGGTTTGGGGTCTGGCAGAGAGAAACCAGACCTGAAACAAATTGACTCCTCCCTCAGTGTATTTCAGTTAATGCACTAGCTGTGGAGAAATAGCCAGGCCTGAAGCAACAAAATCAATTCCCCTCAACTGAACAAGTTTGAGCAAAATCCCCCAAACTCTTTATCTTGTATCTTTTATCTATGGGGCCCAAAATGCCGCCCAGCCTTAGTTTCCTTCCATTGGCAAAGCCTGTCTCAGAGGGTCAGGCCGAAAATCTCTAAAGATCCTTAGGTCACGGTCATATGCCAAGGGGCTTCTAGTGAATACATCCAAGCAACCCTCACCATTCTTTAACATCTGATATAACCTTGACAGCCACTAGTTTCTAGAAAGGAGGCAAGAATGGCTCTTAATTGGCTGATGTTACAGATGGGGAAGCTGTGGAGGTCTAGTGATCTGATCCAATATCAATCCCCTACCCAGGGATAAACCTGGTAGCACACCCTGGGTCTTGAACCTTTCTAGGACTACTGCCAAATGGCATTTTCTTCTTGAGCTTTAAAGACCCGCCTCTAGATGTGAACTCTGTGACTGTGTTCCTATGTGCAAGGCTCATGTGGATTTAGAATGGCAGAATCATGTGAGACTAAAATGATGTTCATGTTTTTATGTCCTTTATATGACACCTACCACTCAAAGTTCTGTCCCACCTAACCTGTGAATATCCAAATCTCCACTACCTTCCCACATCCCCTATCAAAAATTTCCTTTGAGTTTCTGTATCTACTAAGTGAAATCAACCGAAATGCATCATATGGAGAACTATGAATGCTTTGTGAAAGTCTCAGTCAAGCCCAAAAGAGGAAGCAAGCTGGGGGTATGGGAGTCAGTTTAATGTGTGGAATCTGATGAAAGCTGTTGCTAGGTTTTCTGATTCCTGCCAGTTAGCCCCTCCTCACTCTGCTGGAAACTTTTAGAAATGCAAGTGAGGCTAAACTGTCACTCTGTTGTCAGAAGAGAAAAGAGTTCAGGGTGCTAACAGCCCCACATGGAATCCTGGAAAAAGAGGAAAGGATGTGAACTATCCCAGCCCTCACATATTCAGTTTATCCCAACATATGCTAGATATTGCCTTACTCATGCATTCATTCTTTCTACAGTTACTGAACATCTGCTTTGTGCCAGGCACAGAACTGGGCTCCAGGGCTATAAATATGAATTGCAAGGATGACCCTTCTGCCCTACCAGCCAAGTGTCACTTCCTGAAATAATGTGTTCATAGCAGTGCTGAGTTAATTATAGCATTTTTAAAAATAAAAGTGAAAGGTAAGCCTAAGACCTATTTATAATACCCATGGAGCTTCCAAAGCAAGCTAAGATAATTGGCTTAGATCAGCCTTGGCAACTGGTTTAGCATTACGGTTTTCAAAGGGAAGAAACTAACCTAATTGTACATTCCAATGTGGCTAAAAAGCCGTTGGTGGCTAAAGGCTGGGAAAAATCAGAAATAAAGGAAGCTAGAATGCTAATTCAGATTTAGAACTTTTATAGCTTGTCTGAGAAAAGAGGAAACCAGAAAGCATCACCTTAACTGGTACAACAAAAAGAATCTGATGCTTTTCATAATCACACCAGGAAACCATAGTAGCCTAGTCCAGGGTTTCTCAAACTTGGAACTATTGACATTTTGGCTGGATACTTTGTTGTTGCAGGGGGAGTGTTGTCCTCATCTTGTGCATTGTAGATACTCATCAGCATCCCTCACCTTCACCCACTGGATGTCAGTAGAACCCTCCACAAGTTGTGATAATTTAAAATGTCTCCAGACATTACCAAATGTCTTCCAGGGGGAAGGGCGTGCAAAAGCAGTCCCCATTGAAAACCACTGTCTTAGCTCATCTCTGCCATGTCATTCCAAGGCCATCTGAATGCAATCATTGGACAGAAGAAAGAAAAATCAGATCTGGGCTATATCACCAGAGGACAAATTCAAAGGAAGTGAAGTGTAGAAAATATCATGTCATTTGCTGACTACAGTCACAGAGCAACTTGGTAAAGAAAATAGAAGTGAAATCCAAGTTTCCTAGCTCTAGCGACCCATACTGTCATGCTAATGGAGAAAATAATGATAATGAATTGGATAACATTCTAAAACTCTGTAACAACAACAAACTTCAGCAGTAGATTCTACCAGCACTTTTTTCCCAGTGCCCAATCTATGTTTTGCAAAATACTCAAATATTCATACATACACTTTCCTGTCTTTCTAAATTTGTTTTTTTTTTCTTTTCAGATAGTTCAAATTATACAGCTCCCATTGTCTTCCTGACGTCTGCCATTTTTGCATTTTGATCTTTTCTAGCCAATCCACACTGCCAGCATCTCAGGTTCCCTGCACTAAAGTTAGGGGGAGCCTGAATGAGGGAAAAAACAAGTAAGGTGGGTCAAGGTCACAAGAAATCTGAGTAGACTGCTAATAGCTGCCAGAGAGAGCTAGCCTCGTGTGTGGTCCAAATAAGCAGTCATCTACAGTTTGGTACCTAGCGTTCCACTATTACAGGTGTATTTCTTTGGTTAGAACTGTTAGTAATTTGCAACTGTGTGTAGGTGTTTATCAGATCTCTGTTCTCTGAGAAAACTACCGGAGAGCAGAGCTTCTAGAGATTGAGTTTATATTGGAGCAGTAATACTAGAGTATACGTTGCTCCCTGTGGAAGGCAGACATATTAATAGATAATGTTTTTAAATGGGCAACCTGCAGGCAGATGAAGGTGACAAAAATAGAGGGTAAACAACAGATATCAACTCTGCCTACTAGCCAAATTTGCTATGAACAAAACTCTGATATTGATTGCACTTTATGAAGTCCTAGACTAAGTATTTTAAAGGAGACCTCATTCATAGCCTTAGAGTTGGACAAAGTGAAGGGGGTGAGAATGGATTTCCCCATAGGGCTATGCTCCCCACTCCTCCCTGCCCCAAAGCTACCCAACTTACCCAATTCCAGAAGCACAGTCTTACCTCCAACGAACTGCGCTGCTCCCATGCAACGTCCCATCATTCTGGAGATGAGCTCCTCCATGCAGCAACCCAGGACAGCAGCCAGTGCCACCAGGAGCAGCAGAGCACAGCCGGCACCTGTCACCACCGTGCACATCTGCCAGGCCAGGCTTGGGATGGCATTGAAGCTGGCATAACGCCCACATTCTTCCACCATGATCAGACTGTGTCCTTCTCCCCGCACAGGGTAGTTGCACCTCCGGAATGTGCTAAATGACACTGGCTTCCCGAGCTGGGATCCAAAGAGCCAGTAAGGTAGGAAATAACTGGTAGAACTGGCCACAGCAGTAACAAGGGACAGGAAGGCCCAGAGCGTTCCCACCATGGTCAGGCTGCTCCTCATGGTCTCAGGTTTCTCTGCAGGGATGTGGAGATGAGTTGCGTCACAGCACCAAATGCAATAAGTTACCATGTAGGCTCCACTGGCCTATTTTTCATCTGGTTGGCCAGTCCTGGGGCCCAGTTATGTGTCACTTGGTCCTTGCTTCTGGGTAAGATTATTCTCTCGAGGACCATTTGGATCCCTGCGGGATTTTCCTTTTCAGTACTTTTCCCACCTTCCCTTCCTTCTGCCTCATTTAGAGTTCTATGGTCTTCAGTCTACAGTGGAGGAACCAGATAACGGAATTAGGGTCTGCTTTGCCAACTCAAATACAGTGATCAGACAGCTTTTAACTCTTGACATACATCGTGGAACAAGTGGCAGAAAAGGAGTCTAAATGAAAACAAGGCTGCTCTCCCAGCTTCCAGCTGAATGGACTTGCTGGCCTGGTAGCTTGAAAAGAGGCAATATCTGAAGAGGATCAGGAACAAACTTGTTTTCAGTGAGTGAAGGAGAAGCAAGACAACTTAACAGGACCTTCCCCTACTATAAGTGGTAAGAGGGAAAGAGAGCTTGCCATGGAGCTACAGGATGGTCCCATTTGACTTTGGTAAAATGTCCACCAGCGTGTTGGTGTAGGCTTTTCAACTGGGATACATCGGCCAGGTTAAAATGGATAGAATAAAATAAGGAGTGTCTAGTCCCATACCCTATACCTGTCATTGAGAGGGCACTGATCAGTCACTTTTCCCGCAATCTAAATAGGAGGCAACTTTCCAACCAGTAGAGGTTAACTCTGGACTGGCTATTAAGAAAAGCTTCCTTGTCCTTTGCTGGTTATAATTCAAAAAGCTTCTCAAAGTTCTGAAATAGATCAGGATCAGGCACTCCTTACCTTGCAGCAGGAACATATAGCTATAAGGACCTTTCAAAGTCCCTTTTGGAGCAAGTAATCTTGCAATCAAGATGCTGAGAGTCTTTCCAGACCGTTTCTCAGGTCAGCTCACAAATGGTTTTCACAGACCCCTCTGTCAAAAATCAACCACTTCCCTCCCAACTCCATTAATCTGCCATTGCTTTCTGGCCTATTTCTCTATTGGGGCGGCTAGAGACCACACTGCATCTTGATGACAGCACTGTGAATGTCTCCAGCAAGCAGATGGTGGAATATCTTTCAGAAATTTCTCCATGATTCATCACCATTGCGTAAAGTTATATATGGTGGTTATATACGGGGAAGGAGGCTGGGGGACCCAAAGCAGGGGAAGTGCAGAAACTGGCTGTATGGGGTCATCACCACATTGCCAACTTTAGACACTGACAGGAACAAGCAGCAGAGGTACCAAGTGTCTCAGGGTCTCAGCCATGAACCCTTTCACAACCATTGTCAAACAGGGCCTAACATAGAGCAGGCAGTCAAATTCAAGCTTGTTTAATGAAACCCATTGCATAGAATTATTCAATTTCCAGATGGGTAGAGAATTTAATGAATCATTTAATCCAACCTTCTGGTTTTACATATGGGAGAATTTGGCCCAGTAAAGGAGGAAGTGATATTCTTCAAGTCACAAAGTAAGTTAGCAAGCAGCAACATCAGAACCAGAAACCTGATCTGCAGATGCCTAGGCCAGTACTTTTCTACCACACAATGCTAAACTAATCCCTCTCCATCACTTTACAGATGGGGAATATGGAGAGGAAGTGATTTACTCAAGGGTGAAGGGCTAGTGAGGTACACTGGCCAGATCAGAGCCCAGTTATTTGATTCTTAATATAATGCTCATTTTTTACTCCACCACAATTCCCCTCTTGATACATATGTATTTTGTGCAGCAAGGGAGCAGAGATCGTAAATTGCAGGTGCTTACTCTGGAATGTTAGGGCTTGGGAAGAAAGTGCCCTGAGCTGGGCCCCTGGGAATTAGGCTTTGTGGCTGAGGATGGGGGGAATGAGAGAAAGATGTGATGAGGGATTGAAAGGCGACAGGGGGAGAAGTTCAACTAGTTTTGAGTAATTGCTGTTAGACAGCAGGTATGGTTGGCTGCAATGAGGTAATGCCTCTGCTTGTTATATTAGAGTTTGCAAGATTACAAAAAGTGCAAGCAGCCCTCTGTTACAGACTCATTTCCTGATGAAGAAGCCCAGGCCAGAGGAGGAGAGGAAACAAGCTGACAAACAGTTATTAGCTATGTCATCACAATCCCTTCCAAATCCGTTATTTTATGTGCTTTGCCCAATGATCCTCTTAGGTTAGTAAGAAAGGTATTATCCTAAATTTTAAAATGAGAAAATTGGGTTTCAGAAAGACACGTGATTTACCCAAGGATACACAGTGATTCAATGGCAAAGCCATAATTTCTCACTTCCCTTTTACCTGCAGCCTCCCCCTACAGTATTACCCAAAAGTATTACAATTAAAAGCTTCCACGATTTCCCATAGAGAATTTCAAAAAATGTTGAAGAATCAGGAAAGAATTCCAGGGAAGACAGAAGGAAACCCAATTTCTCCAGACAGAGTGCATAAACCATCAGAATAAGAACATGATTTGTTTCAATCTCAGCACTTGAAGTCAAAACTAACTGAATGTCCCTCATGGACATCATCACCCGGAGATCAAAAGTCCCAAAGCAAAAAGAACAAATCTAGAGGCATCACGCTACCCAATTCCAAACTATACTATATGGCGATAGTCACCAAAACAGCATGGTACTGATATAAAAATAGACATATAAACCAATGGAACAGAATAGAGAACCCAGAAATAAACCCAAATACTAACAACAAACGGATCTTTAACAAAGCAAACAAAACCATAAAGTGGGGAAAGGACACTATTTCCAGCAAATGGTGCTAGGATAATTGACTAGCCACATGTAGGAGAATGAAACTGGAACCTCATCTCTCACCTTATACAAACATCAACTCAAGATGAATTAAGGACTTAAACCCAAGACCTGAAGCTATAAAAATTCTACAAGATAACATTGAAAAACCCCTTCTAGACATTGGCTTAGGCAAGGATTTCATGACAAAGAACCCAAAAGCAAATGCCAATAAAAACAAAGATAAATAGCTGGGACCTAATTAAACTAAAGAGCTTTTGCATGGCAAAAGGAACAGTCAGTAGGGTAAGCAGACAACTCACAGAGTGAGAGGAAATCTTCACAATCTATGCATCTGACAAAGGACTAATATCCAGAATCTACAACGAACTAAAACAAATCATTAAGGAAAAAGCAAACAATCCCATCAAAAACTGGGCTAAGGACAAGAATAGACAATTATCAAAAGAAGATATACAAATGGCCAACAAACATATGAAAAAATGCTCAACATCACTAATGATCAGGGAATGCAAATCAAAATCACAGTGTGATATCACCAAACTCCTGCAGGAATGGCCATAATCAAAAAAATGAAAAAAACAGTAAATGTTGGTGTGGATACAGTCAACAGGTAACACTTCTACACTAATAATGGAATGTACACTAACACACACTGTAGAAAACAGTGTCGAGATTCCTTAAAGAACTAAAAGTAGAATCACCATTTGATTCAGCAATCCCACTACTGAGTGTCTACCTAGAATAAAATAAGTCATTATTCAAAAAATATACTTGCACACAAATGTTTATAGTAGCACAATTCACAACTGCAAAATTGTGGAACCAACCCAAATGTCCATCATTCAATGAATGGATAAAGACATTTTGATATATATATACACACATATATGTAATACATATACATATGTAAACATAATACATATGTAAACATAATACATATGTATTACATATATGTGTGTATATATATGATAGAATACTATGCAGCCATAAAAAGGAATAACAGAATTTGCAGTGACCTGGATGAGATTGGAGACTATTACTCTAAGTGATGAACTCAGGAATGGAAAACCAAACATCATATTTCTCCTTGATATGTGGGAGCTAAGCTATGAGGATGCAAAGGCATAAGCATGATATGATGGCCTTTGGGGGATTGGGGGAAAGAGTGGGAAGTGGGCAAGGGATAAAATACTACAAACATGATGCAGTGTATACTGCTTGGGTGACGGATGCACCAAAATCTCACAAATCACCACTAAAGAACTTGCTCAGGTAACCAAATAACACCTGTATACTAATAACTTATGGGAAAAATAAATTTTTTTTAAAAGTCCCAGTATGACAACCAGTAGGAGGGGCAGAGAACTTAAGGCAGAGGAACACACTATATCAGTGTGCAGTACCAAGACTACAGTAGAAATGAGAGGAGGGGTTGTAATAATATGGTTGTCCTCACCTGTGACAAATGAAGCTGATGAATTAAACTATAATACTATCAACTGCTGTCACCATGATTTCAGTTTAAAAGTAAAATTTTGAAGCCAAGACATAGGAAGACAAATTCTCAAAATTCAATTTAAATTAAATGTGTTTAGCTTTAGAAAAACTCATTGTTTTTCAGAATTTAGATGAGGTAATTTCAACTTTAGGAAAAATTCATAGTCCTTATTTCATTTAGAACTAGTGTAACCAACCATGCCTGTTTTCCTGGGACTCAGGGGTTTCCTGGGATGTGGAATTTTCAGTGATAAAACCAGGAAAGTCCCAAACAACCTTGGATGAAGTGGTCAACCTATTTTCAAATATATTTAGGACTAGAGATGTCGTGAGCTAGCACAACCCACGGACAGCGGGTTAAGAATCACTGCCACAGATAATTTTCTAATATTCTCTTTTTAGGACTCAAACAATATAAAGTTAAAAGTGATCATGGAATTAAACCTTGGAGATATGAAGCTTATACACTTTAAATGCAAACCTTCCTAAATCATAAACTTGACTTGAATGCAGTCAAGGAAGAGATCTCAGAGATCCAATTGCTTAATAGTTCTGAACACAATATGAGTCTCAGCCCAACTTCTCTTGTGGCTGGATAGAAAAGCTGCAGGGCACATGGAGTCTGTTCACACACACTGCTTTATGTTCACATGTGCTGGACAGTGAAGTATATTGTAGAAAATGCTTTTAATTATGCCACCTGCAATGGAGTAGTCTCCTTCATGATAGCCCTCCAATGCAAGCCAAGTTCATTCCCAGAAACTGGCTAAGTCACTTTAAATAATTAGAAATCACAAACAATGCTATATTTCATTTTATCTTAATTCCTGTTGTATACTTCATGTATGTAACAGCTTTGTTTCCCTGATCTGGAATATCCAGCCAAACAGTCACACTGGATCTCAGTAACCAAGAACTCAACTTGATGCTCCTGCTGAGTGGTCCAGTTACCAGGCATTGATAGGATTGGAGTTGAACCTCTTTCTTTTGGTGTCACATTATCCTTCATTCCTCAGCTTTGTTTTATCTGCTAGATGGGCCGCAAGCCTGTTTCTAAGACTGGTTGTATAAGATGCAGTGAATGTGGCCAGAAAGTTGTAATAAATAGGATAAAAGCATGAGTTCTGTTCT